CGCAATTACTCACTTACATTCCAAAGTTGTAGTTATATCGATAAATCTCGCAGTATTGTTCCTTCTTACGGAGAATAATTTTAATCGAGCGAAGAATAATTAGAATCGAAAACAGATATTTCAAACGAGTCGAGATTTTTCCATTATTGAATATCATATTTTCCTTCGAGTATGTCTGCAGATTGCTTGTCGATACGTGGCTACAGTAAATGATAACCTAACAGTTACATTTAAAACGATCTAATTTTTCCAACAGCGTCGCTAAAAATCTTCGAATACCCACTATTTTATATCCACGAATATCAAACTCGTTATTCTCAATTCCGCTACTCGCACGAGCTAACAAACGGAAGTCACTAAAGCTCCTCAATTCTAGCATATTCTCTGAACGAATCTCATTGACATCTGTTGGAATGACACGTATCATTCTCCAGCAATGCTAATTCCTCGAACAGTATCACTGAAAAATGTTGAACCTATAATTTTTGCAAATTTATACTTATATCTACCATCATCAAACTCGTTATCCAAATTTCACTATTCACGAAAACTAGCAAACGAAACTCATCGAAACTCTTCTTCAATTCACCTAATTTTTTCGGTATCGAGTTAGTCCAACTTTTTAACCAAGCTCATAGACGTCCCTGAAATTGATCATTATTCTCCAGCAGTGCTCGGGATAAGCTCATCTAATTCCCCAAACAGTGTCAGTAAAAAATGTGAACATTCTCTAATTTATACCTCTATCCACCAATATGAAACTCGTTATACGAATTTCACTGTTCACAGAAACTAACTAAAGAAACTCATCGAAGCTCTTTCTTAATTCACCTAATGTTTTCAGTATCGAGTTAGTCCAATCTTTCAACTTAACAAGAAATTAATCCGTTCTCTCAACGAATCTCATAGACATCTCATAGGCATCTCCAAAAGTGACGTATGTATATTAGATCTGATGTTCTAAACGGTGTCACTGGAAAACCTTGTACACCCTTTATTTTAGATCCAACAATGTTAAACTCGTTATCCAATTCTGCTGCTCACACGACCCAACAGACGTACCTCGCTGAAACACCTTCTCAATTCAGCGAATCCTCTCGATATCGAATTAGTCCATCCTCTGAACGACCCTCGCAGACATTTAGATATCTGTGGAAAAGGTATGCAAGAGGCGAACGCGCGACAGAACGGGAAGAAAGTGCAATCATCGCGTCATTGTCTCTTTTTGTCGGTGGAAATATCAATGCTGGTGTCCGCTCGGTTCCGAGCCAGAGGCGGGAGAGACGATGAACAATGTCCACAACGTTGCACCGGAAATAAGAACCGGCGCGTACAAGTTGACCATAGTCATTTAGCGACCCCCCTCCCGTTCCATTTGATTCTATTCACGCCCCGGGAGGACCGGACGTGAGGTCAGCCGCGGCTCGTTTAAGTTCGAAACTGCCCCGGTGAAAAAAGAGCCACAAAGGATGAGACATTTTCGCGTGACAACGCGCGACAACGCCTCCCTCGCTGGTTCAGCCTCATTTCAATGTTGCCTTTTCAATTTCTCGTCGCGCCTCCAATGCCGGACAAGCAGGAATTTCGCCTTTCCAGCCCGAGTAGTTTGCACGGTGATTCGGTTCCAGCCTCACGGTTCGCGTGGATGTCTGCTCGGTCGTTGTTCAGAGATTGCAAGATTCCAAAGATGCGAGACCTTTCGGGTTCGTCAGTCGTCGGGTGAGTCGGTGTAGATGAAGTAGGGCAATGGAATGGTATGATCCCGTTCTTTACCACTCGGTATATTCTGGTATTTATTCAAGATTTTAGATACGATAACTCTTTTTCAGAAATTTAATAGCAATCGATTAATGATATTTTCCTCTTTCTTCAAACTTTCCTCGAATTTTCCTCGAATCTTCAATTAAGTATTCGGTAAAAAGGTGAAAGAACACATCGACCTGCATCTTCTGCAGTACTATAGTATCTATATGCTACTATTTACGCACACAGATTCTTTTATATTGGATAAATAACTTGATTTCGTTTCACTTGAAATATCAGAAACTAGGATGGAAACTGACTTCCATTTCTAATGCAGTAAAAACATAAAATATATAAACACGTATTGTTGTATAAAATAATGTGTCAAAATAATACTAAAATGCTTTCAACTTTCTGACTGTATCATAATAGTAAACTAGATATTTTGAAATATAATCGGAATTCAAAATAGGAAGCTTCATTTTCCCAAATGTCATGTCGGAATGATTATTATTAAAGTATGCACAGATTCGAAATAAGCGGGCCAAGTATAATTTTGCTAATTTCAATTCGCAAATTGTTCAGTCACGAGACCTGCAGTTGGATCGTGATGCGGATATAAAATCTCTTGCTCGTCGTTGAAACAGCAAATGCAAACTCCACCGTGAACGCACCGTTTCGCGAATAGCATACGTGGAAATTATCTACTCCAAACGTCCACAACATGGTATTCCATATGGTATCAGCAGAACGATAAGCAGCTAAGTGTTGAAACGTAATTTAAAGCCAACCCTCTGCAATCAGAATGGCACGAATCCCGCTAATTATGCCTCATCGTCGTCCCATTGAGACCGGTTCGCCTTTCATTTCAAACAGATTTCAGGAATCAATACGAATCGCGATTGGACAATAAGACGAAATAATGAAAATGTCCAATGAATCGTTAATTTATGACAGACCAGGTAAGCATCGATTTATTCGGCTGATTGATATTTTACATGAGTTTGTTAAAATTATTCCACCACATTTTTGGTAATTTACACCGGTAATTTCCATTTTTCATGACTATCACGACAAAAATACCATGAATATCATCGATAATGGTGTTAATTAATTTTTAATAAAAAGTGGGTTAAATAATTTGTTTCCATGAAATATTTACGTAGCTTTGAATATATATAATTTATAATTTTCAAGAAGGCAGTGTTCCCAGATAAAATAAGTTGCTTATTGGAATACCAAAAGAAATTCAAATACACGTATTATTTTTAAAGGAAACGATACATTTTCATACGTATCAGTAATTATAAAAGTGGTCTAATTCGCGTACCTTTGACGTTAATGAATTTCAAGATTAATTACAAAATTTCGATGGAAGTACATACTGAGCCGAACCTAAGTTTAATTTTTTGCAAAATGAATTTGCGAAAATAATTTTATATTTTTCTATCACAAATAAATCCCGTATCAAATAAACGATAAATACATTCGATCATTAATAATGACAAGCATATACATAGCAATTTTAATTTAAGAAATTCTATGCGAAATAACAAAATTCCACGACAATAGTTTCTAATGTACATTATTCTCATATGCTCGGTATCATTTTGAATATCTAAAAATTAGGTATGAGTAGTCAAGTATTAAACGTCAATAAGGTACTTTACGTGTAACTCATGGTATAGCTCATACTATAACGAATGCACGAAAAATATCTATGGCTAATATCAATATCACCCTGCCTCGTCACGTCGACGCAGATGTGTTCGCGTGTCCGTGTCTGTTTAAAGGGAAGCATAAATCTGAATCAGCCAACGGATTATGGTCGTCGAAATAATTTATCGTCGTTTCCGGATTGTCGATCTTCGTTTCTAGCGCAATTTTCGCGAGATAATCGACATGGGAACGCGTGACGTTTCGCAACTCCTTAACTCGAGGAGCCGAAGCTGACTCAAATATCGAGGCAAAAAGGAAACGTTGATGGCCTGAATAGCTTTCTCTCTTTCAAACGGAGAATTCATTTTTCGTATTATTTTATTTCCACACTCGTCTGATTGTCTATTATTTGTGTCCCTGTTTCTCTTTATTTTAAGAAAATATTGTGACGTTTATATTTATTACGAATAATAGCTGAGTCAATCAAGCAGCAAATTATACTGTACGTTTATAATTTAATTATCTTTAATTGATGCTATATGACGATATTGCTGGAATATTATAAATGATAAGTGGGACGTCTGTCATGCTTATTTAGCGTCATTTAGTAGATTTTAGTTCCACCGAGTTGACTATCTTTTGTCCTGTTCCTTTTTCACCGTCCTTTAGCTGCCAACGTGGCTTTGTCAATTATACCGTGATATAAAATTATAATGAAATGCTTTGAAAGCTTCTGTTTAAATTAAATAAGATTATTCTTCTACAAAATTTTTAATATAGATGTAATACGTTATTTGCAATAATAATAATGTCTTCTATTCTTTTTATCAATTTAATAGAATTCTATCATATAATGCTTGTTAAAAAAAAAATAATTAAAAAAATAATTCATCTTCTTAGCAATATTTTAACTTTTAATACTTCCGTACGTTTATATCAAGTATTACTTTATACTTCTACTCGATCCAACTCCAAATTTGATAGAAAATTGCAATTTTGTGACTGTAGGAAGTTCTGGCTAAGTTAACCTGATTAACATGTGAGCACTAGAGTCACTTATCTCTACCAGAAGTGGTGCAATGAAAATAAAGAAGCATACGCAATTATTATCCTGTTTGAGTAAAAATCAACATTAACTTTGCCGAAATTAATTTACATTCAACAGTTGCAGAAACAAACAGTCCGGAACAAGTCAACTTAATCACATTGCCGATTCTAGTGTTAATATAACACAATTACTACATAAGAATTTTTATATTTCATACATACCTTAAATTTATTATACCGAATATAACATTACACTGTAATTTACTAATATTAATATATATATTAAATATCATATATATATAATTAACATTTTCCATAGCATAAATATTAAATTATCCATGTAATAATATTCGATATCCAAGGATATTCCAGTACTCACCTGTCACAACACTCGCAGAATAATTGCATTTACTTAAAGCCCTTGCTAGAATTCCAAGCACTTACCCAACTCGATTCACACAGCCCATCTTCCATGTCGATAGCCATAAACCACCCTCAACGCTGCTTCACGCACCCTCCCACTCACCAGCGCGTCTCTTCTTCAATTTCAGATGGTGTCAGCACTCATGGTCTAGTAAAGGAGCGAACCTACTGAAAGCGGAGCGGACAAGAGGCAGCACGATGTGGCGTATACTCGCGTTCGGGGTCCTGCTGGTGGCCACGGTGTCGGTGGGTGGCGATAAAGTGGTAGTCCTACCCCATGACGTTTACCCGGGCTACGAGGTGACGTTACTCGAGACGAAACAGCCGTCGAACTTTCGTCTAGTGGATAATGGTTTTTCCAAGTTCTTCACCGTGCTCGGGAACGGTCTAGTGATGACCACGTCCGACCTGTCGCCGCTGGTCAACCGACGAGTGAACCTGGTTATACTGGAGGAACTGGCCAACAACACAGAGACGCATTTCCTTCATCTGTACGTGATTAATCGCAGAAACATGATCACCTTCTCGCACGACCAGCTAGGTATCGGAGAGGTGCTAGAGAATTCCGCAGCGGGCACCTTGATCGAGGGTTTCCCAGTGTTGAGGGCTCACGGGAGCTTCCCGGTTCACTACATGATCCTGCCGGACGAGACAGGAGACAGACCGTTCGTGCTGAAGCAGGAAGACTCGAATCAGATGGGTTTTAACCTGACGCTGAACAGCCAAAAGGAAGGTGTCAGGATGGTGACCGCAAAGCCTCTGGATAGAGAGATCAAGCGACTCTACACGGTCGTGATCCACGCCTCTGACAGCTATTTGCTCAGCAGCTCGCAGATCAGCGGCGTGGTGCACGTGCTGGACGAGAACGACAACAGGCCAGTGTTCGAGAAGGAGCTGTACATTTTCGAGATCAGACCGATGAACTTGGGCAGCGTCAGCGAGAACTCGGTAGCTCTTCCGGAATGGAAACGTTTCTCGACGGTGGGCAAGGTGCTGGCCAAGGATGCTGACGGAGACAAAGTCGCGTACAAATTGATCACGCCGAGCAGTCTGCTGGTCGTTGTGCCGCAAACCGGAGAGCTAATGCTTGTTGGAGAGCCGGAAGTCACCATGGAGCAGGACACCGAGTGCGTGGTTCTTGTGGAAGCTCACGACGTCCGCACACCGAACAAATCGTCGGAGAAACCGGCCAAGGTTGTCATTCGGTTCTTGACGTCCAATCCGACGTCCGAGGTAGCGATTCATCGGATACAGAAGCGACGGGTGACCAGGGCTGTTAGACCGACGAAGAAAGTGGATTTCACGGAGGCTGACGGCGACAAGGAAGGAAAGATAGTGTTTTATCTGGAGAAGGAGAACGAGAAGGAGACGTACAAGATTAGAGACGAGAATAAGTGGGTCACTGTCGACTCGAATGGCTCGGTCATTGTGAAACAGAAATGGGATTATGAAGAACTGGGTTCGGAAAAGACCATTGATTTTTGGGTGACTATTACGAACACAGGTAAGGAATCTCCATACATTTGCTTCCCATATACTTACACACTCGCGAATTTTCCCTTTTTTTTCAAAATCCTGTATCCATTTTGTTTTTTAATTTCTTTTTTTTATTTTTTGTTTTTCTTCTTTCATTATTAAACGAGAAGGATATTTTCGCAGTTAAAGGGTGATACTGAAATTATCGTAGGCACTTACTTTTGGAGAGTTTTCGAGGACATTAAAATTTTTTATTTATTATTATAATAAATGAAATTCTTGCGATTATTGTTACTCTTTGATAGGATTCTCATTTAGAAAAATTAAACACTGCGCAAGTTTTTACTATAAAGTATAATACAAATGATACCTATGTTATTTACAATTATTCCATCTTATTAATTCTCGTTACCACTCTTTAATTATTTTATGTTATTTTGTATTCTTCGTAATCATATATCTCTATTAATTAATTTATCGAAATTAATACCTTTGAATTACAAATTTCATTTACAATCAAGTTACGTAAATTACGCCTCTTTTTTCAGTATCGCTCTCCACAGAAACTAGACCTTCAAATTCTTCCAAATTCTGTACGAACACAAAAATTAATTTGTCGTTTCCCTTAATTAATCTTTATTTTGTTCCTCGTCCCGATGGCCGAAGAACGGTGTTCATGGTACCACCCATCGTATATACGGTGTCCATACAAGGGTATAATTTGAATTTTTACTCGTCGCTATACTTCGTATACTACATGCATCGACCCATTCGCCATTCACGTCGTTTATCTATGCTGTGGCTCGGGTCTTCCTCTTCCTCCGCGAGCTTCCTCTCGAAAAAGGGGGCGGCAACCTGCGCTTCTTAGACACCGTGCACGATCGTACGAAATCGATCGATACAGTAGAACCTCGATCATCCGGATTAACTGCGAAACGACTTCCAAACAAATGCTAAGCAAATTTTGAATCGTGTCATAAATCGTGAAAAAATTCATCAATTTCCAAACATAAATGCATTCGCGCGAAAGAAAATATACCTAATAAATAAAATAGAAATTACGACATAAATTGTACCCTTTTACATGTTTTCAAATTATAAACTTTCTCTGAAACAGATATTTATGCAGCATCCGTTCCGATGCTCTACCCATTGTAATTTGATGCAGAATTTCTGTATTCGGATTTCGGTCAACCGTGTAATGAAAATTCGCATAATCGATCATTCGTGTAATGAGAATTCGTACAATCAAAATTCGCATAATCGACGTTCCACTGTACATCGATCGACCCTCGCGATAGTAGCACGTGACAATTACAAGGGAGGCTCGGCAAGAAATATGAAAGGGTTCGATGCGAACCTTTTTGCGGGCGGCTCGCACGTTGATACAATTTCCTTTCGGAATGGGTAATAGTTCGTGCGGTGGTAGTCGTGCGCTAATTACAATTTCACCGAGAAAAATGAGCGGGACGCGTGTTACGCGTGAAGGGGCCGGAAGGAATTAAATTACGTCGTATTCCGGTGCGTTAACGTTATTTAGCAACACAGTGTGCTCGCGAAATTATTACGTTGTCATGGTTCTGAAGAACGTCGACGTTTGAGATTTTTCTTGAATTGAATCTGTTTACTTGCAGCTTCACGATGAACTTTGATTTTTGATTTGATTTTTCATTTTTGTCATTTAAGGGCGAACATACCTTTGATTTGAGGAATTTCCGCTATGATAAATCTAGCTCGCTGTGAATTTTTCATGCCGAAATGCACAACCATGATCTACATTTGTAATGGAATTTTTTTCATTGTACTTTAACATGCATAAAGTTTGTAGAAATTCAATAATTTTTGAAAAATTTCATCGCAAATGAAGCAGACATGTTGGAACTGATTAAAATTAATTACTCTTTCAATGCACGATTTTTCATTATTAAATCACTTTAATTCTGCATTTCTATGAAATCTGGCAAAATTGGAATGTTTTAAAGTTGAATGCTTTATTGTTTTAAACTAAAATTTGGGAAATTGGAAAATTGAGAAAATGTCTCGGCATACTATGCATAATTCACTTGAATACGTCTATGCCAATTTTCATGAAAATGGGTCGAGAATAAATACACTTAATGTACCAACAGACTTCATAAAATGTATTTCGAAATAAACGTCTTAAAAGGTTTTCAGTGTATGTGAAAAATATATACGGGAATACTTATGAATTAATATTGGAATATTCATTATAAAATAATACATAGAAAAATAATGGCGTACAAATTGCTGGTTTCAATCGTCTGTTTCATTTGACTACAGGCTATAATACCGTTTATACTATATTCATACTCCCACAGACACATATATATCATTTTCACGTAAAAATGATAATTAATTGAAATGATACGATTCAAGTAAAAACTACTTTTATTTAATTATTTCCAAGTTAATTATGTACTTCTGGATTACACGCTTATACTACGTACCATATACACTTGAATTACTTAACAAGTACACTCGAATAATTAAATAACTGTACACCCGATAGACTTAGAAAAGATCAACTGTTTTTTTAACAAGAAGAAGGTATGTCTCATCCTTAACCTCATTTTTCTTTGAATACTAGCCCATTTAACGAACGATGATCCGTTAATCATTATGCAAGTCGCCCGCAAGAAATTCCAGGGTATTTCTTGCCGTACGTCCGCACTTTAATTATCCACGCTTTCGTGTCACTCTTATTAATGACGAATGTTTTCTTTCCCGCATTCTTGGCTTCCACAGGACTTCAATGTAAGTAGAAACACGTGTCATCCTTATTTTATTTTTTTTCTGTCCTTTCTTCGCGATCATTTTACGCATATGCATTAACAAAAGAACGATTTGCACATATCACATGTGATTAGCAGCAGCTTTCGTAGTTGTACGGTTTGCACAGAGTGCAGAAGTTTCGCAGCTTCTTGCATTTAATGCTTGTTTAAATCGGAGCTTGCTATGCCGATGGTAGAGCGCTATTTTGCTGAGTCGACAGTGTTTATAGGCGGTGACGGAAAGTGATGTAAGTTAATAAACCAAATTTCTTTGCCGATGAAAGCCTCGGTGACAGAGTGTTTGACGCTAGGTTGACAACGGCCCAGATAAGACTTTAAAGCCGATCCGAAGCAATTTTCCAAAAATTCGATCAGAGTCGGCGTTGGTTAGATTCTCTAAGGATATTCTCTACTTTCGAAATATTATTTTATTCGATCAGAGTAACATAATTATATGGAATATTTTATATTCTGTATGGTATTCTGTGTTCTTTGTATTTCATATAATATTAGACATTTTATTTCATATACAGTATTCCATACTTTATATTTTTATGATATCCTATATTCTATTATATCATCTATGCAATATTTGATTTAGTTAAAATAACGAAATTAGATGAAATATTCCCTATCTTACATTTGATATCCTACAGATATCCAATATGGCACCTGATAATTTAAATTTTATATATTATTATACACTCACATTCTGCATAATATTCTATAAAAGAATTCTATACAAGCGAAATAATAAAATCACGCAAAATTATCGGTTCTATCTAATATTCAATATTTTATATTCCATATCCTGCATTCCACATAAAGTTCCATAAAACATTCCTTACTCTTTGTTCTGTATTCTACATTCCACATAAAATTCCATATATCATTTTCAGTATGGTATTCTTTAGCCTGCATTCTGTATAACATTTTGTAAAATCTTTGACACAATTAGAGTATTAAAAAATTACATTGAAACATACTATATTCTGCCACACCCTCTGTGAAATATTCTCTATAATTTGACTAATAAAATTATTCAAAATATTCCATATCACGGTTTCCTATAACGTATTGTATAGAACATTTCATATTATATAATTTCTGTAACGAAACTTCAATACCCAGTCGGAATAGCCTAACAAAGGACATAACAGGAACACGCCAATTTCCAAAGGAATCCTCGACAATGGCGAATGAAATTTTCCCGAATCGTCGATGAATTTGCCCATCCCAATTTTATTACCATTCTCTACTACCCAAACCAGCCATTAATTTCATTTTCCACCATTACGGTCCACCAATGCGACCTTCGATCGGATCTCTTAATCCGTCCGTCACCTCTTCATCCATCGAATGCGTGACATAACTGTTTCCACCATGCTCGAAATAGCATGTACGATAGCAGAGTGCTCGATATACCGTGCACGGAGGAATTTCATTTGAAGGCTCGTGTTGGATTTAACAGGCCAAAGGTCAAAGCGTCAGACAAGATAATGTCAAACGATGTTCGGTCACCGCCTTTGAACACTGTCCACCGTTTTCTGTCAATGGTAGTCCACCGTTGCAGACCGGTATCAATAATCGATCGACGATTACAGACACGGACAATCAGCGTGTCATTATCAACGTGAAGGACGTTAACGACGAGCCACCGCACTTCATAAATCGGCCTCTGCCAATGGAAACGGTCGTACAGCTGAATGCACCGCCGAATACTCACGTGTTTACCCTTCAAGCCAGAGATCCTGACACCGACAGCAATATTCACTACTTCATCGTACGAGATCGCAGTACGTATGAATTGGATATTACCTGTTTATCCCGCACGTTGCCAATCGAGGCATGAAAACACGTCGGTGAAATTCTCGGACGTTGCGTGAGTCGCGTGTAATTAGCCGACGTGTAACGTTCGTCCAGCTGGGAATTACTCCGTCACGGGAATAATGCCGTAATTGCGAGCGAAATTATGACGAATAATCGACAGAAATGATAGAGGGGTTTGCACGTGGCTCACTCGTCGATCGCCACTGGCTTGGCTCCCGTGGATCGTCCAACGAATGCCGATGGATGATGGTTTATTCTGAAAATTCGCAGAAAAGTTTGCTAATGAAACGGTCAGCCAATGAGAAAATTCGGATTTTTGCGGGGCGTAGTAATCTTTTATCTTTGGTAGATTGCAGTTTATTTACTGTTAAATCGCGATGGAAACAGAATGTAAATATTGGATTGAACGATATTCTCTGCAAAGGAGAGATTTATATTTTTAATTGATCTTTCGTTGCAACGCGGATTAGATTTGATATCCAATAATTTTTAATCGAGCCTTAGCTCCATGTGAAAGTGTCTTTACAGGACAGGAAATTGAAAGGTCGTATAAAATTTCTAAATATATCAATTCGTTTTGGAACACGAGAATTTAATTGAACGATGAAATTTTAACAAGAAAGCAGAATTTGGTCGTGAATCGAGAGTAAAAATTGTGTGGACCGATCGAAAATGAAATACTTTTTACAGAGACAGCTAGTAATAAACGAAAATTTCATGTTCGTTTTTTATTTATTCTTTTTTTTTTCATGCTATACTTTATTGGATGTAGGACCTACGTTCAATTTTTAACAGTTTAAGCTGGAATCAGACCAAAGCAAAATTGACAAATTCGTGCGCAACTGAAAAACATGGTGACCATCGAATGCGGCTTATCGAAGTTGAAACGTGAAAACGGAGAATTTTGGGCTCCATTTCGGATTAATTTTTTACAAATTGATTTTTGCGAGAAATAAGTTAAAATATCACTGCAGAAATGAAACATATTCGAAGTACTCGGGAAGTATGAACCACTATTTTTAGAATTAGTAGAATTTATTAGGATTAGAATTTGTAGAATTTATTAGGTATAATTTATATAATATAATTTATTTGCATTAATTTATATATTTAGGTATATTTTATATAGGTATTAATTTAAAAAATCAATTTCCAGACTTGTCAGGACCAACGATTTCTGTTCTAAACCGAAATCTATTACATTGTTGTATAAACCATCACCGGTGACGTGATGTTAATTTGATTTCATATGACTCTTGGTATTTACACCAAAAATAAAGGAAAATCTAATTCCAATTTAATTCCTCATAAAAAATATCCTTTCGATTCGTGAATTTTCGTAAAATAATAAAATCACAGTAAAAAGTAGTAAATGACAAAGAAATATCCAATTATACAAACGATAAACTTCTGTATAAAAATACATTCATCAAATTAATATCACGTGGCGATTAGTGATAAGAGAAAGGCACGTTTCCAAAGAACACTTTGAAATCCATAAAATATTTATGACATCCGTCGACATCAAAGGACAATTCCAATTACGATTTTCATTAGTCGTGGAAAGAGAAAACGTTGATATAGAAGAATAGAGAAATAGAAAGGGAAGAAAAGGAAAGACTATGAAAATTGATCCCTTTGGTTGTTTTAGTTCGTCACAAAGGTCCCCGTTGTACTATCGAGATCGCTTTTCATGAAATATCCACGGGATTGCCGCGCGAAGCAACGGATCCCTTCCGTTGGCTGTCGGTGGCCGTAAAATTAAGTGAAAAACAAATGGCACACGTTTTGCTTTGCAGCTGGAGGCCGTTTCGAGGTAGATGAGCGATCCGGCGTCGTACGCACCCGTGGGACCGATATCTTCCAGCTGGACATGGAATACGTTCTGTACGTGAAAGCCGAGGATCAGAACGGCCGTTTAGACGAGAAGCGTTTTCAGTCGACTCCTGAGGAACGGCTATCGATCGTAGGTGGAAAACGCGCGCCGCAGTTCTACATGTTGGCGTACGAGAAAGACGTACCGGAAAACCAGAAGAAGGACTCCGAGTGAGTTGAATGTTCTCGTGCTTTTCCTAGCGTCGACGTTATTCGTGTTCCAGTCGATTCTAGGGGAATTATGGGGAAATTATGATGCATGAAGAGATGATTATGGCCGGAGACTCATGTCGAGATATCGGGGCGATAAATATCGGGAATATCTTCGAAATCTCTATAAAATTCCAAGTAGAGAGCGTATATATATTTTATATTACATAACTTTTTGAACGCGTTATTTATAATATACATTTATATGTTGTGTGTGTATATTTCATGGGTATATGTTGCAATGAAAACTCGAAATCAGTTAAATCTAATTTTAGTTAAAGTTATTGCTATTTCTATTCGATTAGGAAATTTTGAAGACTTTATTAATCAGAGATTAAAAAAATTTGAATTTTATTCTAGAATAGAATTGCAAAAATAGAGAAATGAAGTTTGACAGAGTACATAGATAAATTTTCACGTTCTAACCCTTTGCACTCGAGAGGAGACTCTCAGTCACCATTTGATCAGATTTTAAATAGAGAAATGAAGTTTGACAGAGTACATAGATAAATTTTCACGTTCTAACCCTTTGCACTCAAGAGGCGACTCTCAGTCACCATTTGATCAGATTCTAAAGATCGTTGTTAATTAATATATCGAATTTAAAATTGCCCAACGACGCGTGAAATATCGAAGTAAAATAATTCTACGTCTTACAATTAATTTGCACTTCTTATTTATCATTTTGAAAATATCATCGTCATTATGGCAGAAAGTCTTCGAATTGCTGTTTCTCTAACGAAAAGATCGCCGAGTGCAAAGGGTTAAGTGTATTTATATTGTATGCTACTGTGATCTTTTCCTCTATGTAAATAAATGAACGAATAAATAAATAGTATCGGTGTTTATATAGGTTTCGATGTTATTTCGACCGAGTATCGAAATTCGGAGACGAAATGTTTGCATCATGAAAAGCGTTGCATTTGTGTTTCAGTATCATATCTGTGAAAGCAAAATCATTCGCTGATCGCGAAATTCGCTACACGCTGAAGGCACAAGTGCAAGGAGCTGCGGGAACGTTCAATATCGGGCCAACAACAGGCATCGTGAGACTGGCTAAAGAATTAGATTTCGAGGATCTACGTCAACCTCACATTTATTCGCTTATTGTCACTGCTACTGAAGATTCCGGAGGATTCTCTACAACCGTCGACGTACATATATATTTTTATTTATATATTATTCACAAGCATGCATATCTTCTCGATATTCGCAATTAATTGACCGATTGTATTACTGATATTATGAAATATAATTATTTATATTAGAGATATTAGTTTTGAGCGTGTATTAAACATACACGTGTACACGTGCATATATTTCATATACGCGTATAATTTAATTTTATATCGAATTTTCTCACACGTGTGAGACATAGTTTCGATTTGCAAATTATTACCGAAATAATTGGAATATAAATTATTCCAAGAATTCAAATTAATCGTGATGAAATGTTACTCGAATTTTTATCCATACGAAGAAAGTAGCTGAGTAACGATAAAAAGAAAAATTATTAAAAAAAGAAAAATTGGAAAAATAGCGAAATATCGTCATATTCTGGTTTACTGAAATTCTCACGTAACCTTTCAGTTGACCATACGAGTTACGGATGTGAATGACAACGCACCCAAGTTTGAGTTGCCTGATTACCAAGCCCACAATGTGGACGAGGATATATCGTTAGGCACAAGTATACTGAAAGTGAAAGCAACCGACGCGGATTCCGGTGCTAACGCGGAAATAGAGTATCTGGTGTCGGACGACCATTTCAGCGTGGACTTGAGCGGCATCATAGTTAACAAGAAACAACTCGACGCTGATAACAACAATGCTTATTACGAATTCGTTGTCACTGCTAAAGACAAAGGTAACGTATTTTCTCTCTTTCATTTTTCCACGTCTCTTGTATTATACTATATCACTCATTGAAATAGAGTTATACAAGGGTCATTACATTCGCAGAAGCATTAAACGTTGTACCGATGATACAATAAGTAATACCATTATAATACTATTTTATATTGATATTATAATGTGCAATATTAATAATTCCGATTTTTGTTATGAACTGTATAGCTATTTACTTTCATTATTAGTATTATATATTCTATTATTAATATATTATTATATATTATTTTATTATTGATCTAATAAATAGCATAATTTGTTAGATTGAGAATAAACTATTCTGATATATCTAACTTAACCAAATACAACGAAACTACTCATTTCTATGTACCCATTACTTAATTTTAAGGTGAAAGCAGTATCCATTTTCTCGCAACTGAATTTTTCATTCCTCTGTGATAAATTAAATTATTCGAGACTTAATTTTTCACGTGTCTTTGTATAATATGAGATCGAAAAATTGTGGATTGTATGAAACGATATCGTACTCTATAATTTTTAATATTTCCTTGGACCAGTGCAATATATAAAAATGTTACGCACGTAGTCGTATAATGTATTCCTTCCTTGGTAATATGAAAATAGATGACCCGTATTTCCATCTCTTTCTATAAATTTCACTTGCTTGTATGAACAATGGGTTCGACTAAATGATATACCAGTTACATAAAAATCAAATCTTTCATTCGTTCATTTTCTTCGTGTCAGACTTGGAAAATAAATAAATAAAAACTCTCGACTTTTGCTATGTCTACGAAAGCATATCGAATACAGTAATTTATCAACTGCATCGTACAATACTAACCTTCTACTAACCTCTCAAGATATATTCGTCTTTTCAAAGTTACCCAAGAAATATTTGATCAAAATTCTATCGCTTTAGTTAAAATATTACACGAACGAATCCTGCTCTAACGTCTCTTCGCATTTGCAGGACAACCACCAAAAACCGGCACTGCGACAGTGCGTATATACACGAAGAACAAGAACGACGAGGAGCCAAAGTTCTCGCAGCAAGTGTACACGCCGAACGTCGACGAGAACGCTGGGCCAAACACCCTCGTGACAACTGTCGTCGCCTCTGACAAGGACGGAGACAACGTTCGGTTTCGTTTCGGTGACGGTAACACCACATCCGGTCAATTTGTGATCGAAGAGATCACAGGAGTGATCCGTCTTCACGGGAAGGAGATCTCGCTTGACAGAGACAAGTACGAGCTGAACGTGACCGCCCTCGACGACGGTGCCTGTTGTCCTAACGGAGACTTGACCACGCACGCCAGCACAGCTGTTGTCGTGGTCTTCATCACGGACGTGAATGACAACAAGCCTGTTTTTAATGACTGTAAAACGTATATTCCGAAAGTCGAAGAAGGTGCGCCCAACGGCAGTACCGTGATAAAGGTTCAGGCTACTGACAAGGATAAAGGCGTGAATGGACAAGTGAAGTACTCGATCGTTCAACAACCGAATCAGAAAGGAACCAAGTTCACCGTCGACGAAGAGACTGGCCAAGTTTTGACGAATAAGGTATATTTTGCTGTAGATTAAATAGGTTATATGAGGTTCGTTATGAGCGAGCTTTTGGAGAATTTGTGGGATGTGGGATTCTTCGACAAGTATTTAACCCTGGTGTAAATAACTAACTTTTATACATAATAATAAGTAACCTTTTGAGGGACTTGTTTAACGATTAATCGAGGTATATATCTTCCTGCTGTCATAGTGTAACATTGTTCATATATCGTGCTAATTTTCAAATGGAAAATATAGCTTTTAGTATGGTAGAACGTCGATTATGCTTGTATAGAGTGAATGAAATATGTATATTTCAGTCGAAAAATTGAAATTAATCACTAATTGGAAAATTGGTATGTAATATACTAAGATTTGAAGAGTATTGTGGCAGTCATGTTTAGAAAATCACTGATTTTTTACATTCCAACAATGGTTATAACTGCAGCATAATGTAGTATGTAGAAGAACGTTGACAGTTTTGGTTATTTTAGCAGCAGGGTTAAATGACAAGATAAAAAATTTAGACGTTTCTAATAGTATCATGATATCTTAAGTAAAAATGAACGTGTAAGGTATTAAAGTCGATAGAGTCTACAACTATTTCGATGTTTCAGGTATTTGATCGTGAAGGAGATGATGGAAAATTTGTATCTGTAACGGTTAAAGCAACGGATCAGGGTGAACCTTCTTTGGAAGGTGTTTGCTCCTTCACTGTAGAAATCACCGATATCAATGATAACCCACCATTATTCGATCGCCAGGTGAGTAAAATTATCAAAGCTTAAAGCTAAGAAACTTCTTATAGTACTAAGCTATAAACATTTCACAGAAAAGAAAAAAATTGACAATCCAATCTTTGCAACAAGAATGCAATTTCATCTGTAAAATCTTTCTCGATCGACAACTCAATGTGAGGTATAAAATCAAAGTGATTAAAATATCTTTTAGATCGTGATTTTATATTCTAATGAAACGCTAATTTGAAATGCAAAATGCTCCCAGAAGAATGATAAAATTTTCCACGCAAAGCATCTCTAAATATAGAGTAACATGTGCTCTTCACGATGGTTTTTATTTCATGCCGATATCTCAATTGGTTTCCGAGATATAAGTCTTTAAAGAGCGGAATGTAAAATAGTTTATTGAGTGTTCGCTCAAGTAGCCGTGACCTACTTTTTTCGTGCAAATGCGTGTCACTAGTCTCAGCGTCACTGACCACCGCAAGCCGTCGAAAGTTATGGGCGTCCGCGACACGTGCGAGAGAGAGACCCAAGAGTGCGAGTGAGAGGTCGGAGTAGAACAACCGAAATTACGGACCCATTTAGACAATCATTTCTCAAGAACGGAAAGTCGTATCGACTTGAAACAAAATGCATTTTAAAGAGGAGACTTCTCTGCTTCTTACAACGTTCGTTACAATGACTGTTCTTAACGCGTAGCAAAGTTATACGATGTTCTTTCAAGGCAATCTTTTTGAAGCTCTAATCCATTATCTGCGAGGTATAATAATGAATATTAGTTTCAGTAAGCGTTTGTACGCCTATAATTATGGAATGCAAGATTACTAACGGTAGTTTCAACGACAGAGAAAGCGAATTTTTCAGAGACAAATACGTAATAAGATTTTCTTACACAACAGAAAAGAAATATCGTCTTTTAAACGAGAGTGGCAAAATTTGATATTAAAAAACGGAAATTTAAGGTATCAAATTCTACGTTTGCGAATTTTTTTTCGATTTTGTAACTTTACAATTGCAATGCGAAAAGTTTCTACAATCTATTTAAGTTTGAAATACATTATTAAAAGAAATAAACTGATATTACTATTATAATTAAATAGAACATTATTGAAACAAATAAGCAATGTAATTTACAATTTAAAAGTGCCATTTTTTGAAGGATAATAAAAATGCACATTTTTAACGTGCGAGATAATGTTGATCCGGTACGAGTGCTTCAATAGCAAGCGCATATTTGACCTTTCGTTTCATTTGCATTTGTACCGTGTCTCATTCGGACAATTTGCTGATATTCATCGCCGTAGAGAAATATCAGCGAACGTTCATTGCGAACAGAGGGGCGGGTAATGGGCGGGGAAAAACTAAAAGAGAAAATTGCCTTTCACGTGCTTGTATTGCGCCATTTGATGCCCTTTGAAATTCAAGCGACTATTGGGATACACAAAGGGACACGTTTGAAAGAAATGCAAAAGATGCTTGACCGGGGCATTTTGCACTTTGTGCACGAGATAGCTGTTCGGAATAAATTAACGGACTACTGCTGGAAACAAATGAAAGAGGACTTCTTCGTGGTTTGCATATTATTCGCTCGCCATATGTCAGTCTTTCCCCTTTCATTGGCGAAATTGCTATTCGACGTTTTGCTGCACGAGTATTGCTCGATAGAGATTGCTGTGAAATCGCGTTGGAGGCCGTTTAATTAGGTTAAAAATGTTATACGAGATTTTGCAAAAAGTATGTATCGCTTTGTATCCCATTTTTAATTCTTTTAAGTGAATTTTTTACTACTTTCTTTTACGTTTATTAGAGACAAAGGTCATAATAGATATGTGTATATATATTTCTTTATTCAGAAGAGACATTTTAATTGAATCGTAAATGAAGTTACATATACACAGATATATGTCATTTAAAATAATTAAAGTGTTCGTATGAGAAACGACCTCTGTCACTTTTTTCGAGCTTCTTGGTAATAACGTGTTTTAATAGCTCCTGAACTATAATATAAGAAAAATTCATCGCATCTGTAATAATGATAATTATTCGTAAATACTCCAAATTGATTAGGAACGATCTTTTTAGTTTTTAATTAGAAAACGAATTAATTATTATAAAGCCATCGACTCTGTAAAAATAAATTGAAGATGATAGAGTATATTTTTCTCTCTTGAGTAGTCGATCGTCAATTTTCAATTCCAATGGAATTAATTTCTTCTCGAAGATTTCCTTATTAAATCTGTTTTACGTCCTATTTAAATTTTAAGAGAAAATTTATCTTCTTAATATTGCAGCTATTTTCTGTCAATCTGCAAATGATTTCTCGTCTTATTTTCAGCAATACGTTGAGAATATAAAACAGGATGCCAGTATCGGAACAAACATTCTTAGAGTATCGGCATCGGACGAGGATGCCGATAATAACGGTGCCATAACGTATTCGTTGAGCTCTCCTAACAATGACCAAGGGTTGGAGTACTTTGAGATTCAACCAGAGTCTGGTTGGATCGTCTTAAAGAAGCCTCTAGACGTGAGTATTCCCATTGATGATAATTTACATATACGACTCTCTTTAACAGTAACAGCAATCGTTCTCTGGAGGGCCAACGTGTGTTCTCGAGCAAGAAACATCCGATTTTTCGACCTGCTTCTATCAACGACCGCCTTTCGTCGCGTTTATAAATGTTCATTAGCAAATACCTACACGCCATCGAGCTGTGATAACAACAATCGATCGTAACAACGACAACGATGTTAATGTTTAAGAAATTGGTAGAGAAATTAAGCGAGAAATTCGTGTTAATCACGAAGAAACGATTAATAAGCCGAGAATGCACGTGGCGTTCTTCGATATCATTATGCCCAAATTTACATACATGTACACGCACACGTATGCGTAACTTAGGCAGTACACATACGCGTGTCTGTATATCCAAGAAATATATATATATATATATTTATATCTATATTTATACGATATAAATACAAACTTGAGTGTACACCTTCTGCCGATATATATCTCTATATTGTACGTTTACGTTAACTTACGTTCTTTAACACGAATCCGTTTTGTTGCTGATCGGATAACTTGTATACTAATATACGTTTGGTCGGCAATTATTTCTCTAATTATCACTAATATGCAACGAAATGAGTTTCCTTTTTACGGCACATGTATAGAACTTTTTAATTCCCATTGATATGCACAATGTGTTCACTATGGTAAATACTTAGCTATGCCTGATTTCCTTCAAACGCTTCATGTACCTGAATCGATCGACCGTTCGGGCTATTTTTGCAACAGAACACTCTCTCTCTGTCTCTCTCATTCTTTCTATCGAGAACATGCTCGCGGCGCGAGTACCTATTAAACAAGTTCCAATCGAGCTATCGAACACCTCTTGTCTCCAAGTTTTGTTCACCGCCGTGTCGGTCGCCGACGAACGTCATTCTCATTATCCTTGTTTTACATACGTATCTATTATTTCCTCTCGATCATTTCCGTTCGATCTGTTTCTTTTTTTCTGTTGTTCCTTCAACGTTCGCTCGGGGAAAAAAGCAAGAACAAAAAACGAAAAAATAAAAGAAAAAAGAAAGACACGTTTCTCGTTCCTTCAACGTTCGCTCGGGGAAAAAAGCAAGAACAAAAAACGAAAAAATAAAAGAAAAAAGAAGGACACGTTTCTCGTCTCGTCTCAATTTTTTGATATCTCTGGAAAAGCTCGCATCGAACGATCTTCTTTGTTTCCGTGTTCCCCTTTACGTTTTTCATCCCTTCACTCGTTTGTTTCGTTTATCGATTTTTTTCCGGCAATCGCGGTAACATTTTTGAACGACGACGAGTAAAGAAAAATGGAAAAAAGGAGGAAGAAATATGGCGTCGGTGTCGCGTCGCGATTTCGAGTCGGTATCGCGTGGCGAATCGGTGAGGAACGATCCACGAGAAAACGAGCGTGTGTGCACTTTTCATTTCCCAACCTTGACCAAAGAGAAAGACTGTCTGCGTGTAATTTTTTTTCTCTCTCTGTCACAGTACTCTCTTTTTTCTTTTTTGTTCTCTCTCTCTTTTTTGTACACGCGTCACAGAGCGCCGCGGAGAAACGACACCCGGGAAGGAAACGAACGAATAACAGAGCAAAAGGAAGAGAAACGAACGAGACCCAACTAATTACCTTTTAATTAATTCTCCTTAACTTAAAATACTAATGTGAATGTTTTTCAAAAGGGAAGTGATGTTTTTTGAACTTCCAGGAGCAGGTGGGAACGACATTTTTTGAGCCCCACGTACGGTGTACTTCAACCTCTACGCATTTTGTGGTGCATCAGACATAAACAATTTTTGAAAATGCTTGCAATATGTTATATGAATGTGTTTTTGATTCCTTTACAGGAACGGATCTCGCTCTCGCTCCTAAACCCTTCCCTCTCTGATCTCTCTCTCTCTCTCTCCCATACTCAATCTCTCTCTTTCTCTCTCTTTTTTATATTCTTTCATTTATTTTTTCCTCTGTTTTTTCACATTCTCGATTTTTCCGCTTTTCGTTTGTATTTTGTTCGCGTACAACTTCTCGTTTCTTGCATTTTGCTTTCCGCGTGGTCTGCGAACGGCTATCGTCTTGATTTTTGCCGATGCTCGCGTGGCTGATTTAACCGAGAAGAGATCGTTTTTTTTTTTTCACGGTGACCGTTTGCATTTTGTTTCAGCAAAAGGAAAAAAAAAGAGAAAAAAAGGAAGAAAACGGTATTGAACGTTGAAAAGAAAAATATCGGATGACGCTTTTGATTTTTGTATTTTTTTCCGTTCTCCGGTATGCCGGAGCAATTCTGTTGCTTTTCTTCCTCGTGTTCTTTTGCATTTTGCATTTTTTCTGTCGATTTTTTCTCTCTGTCTGTCCGACGTTTCCTTACTTTCGTCCTCTGTGCCTCCCGCAAACCACGACGTGACTGACAATGTAGACCAAAAAAACAAAAAAAAAATATATAAAAAAATAAAAATATAAAAATGTAAAACAGTAAATAAAACTAAATAAGACGGAATAATGCAGATCTATAAACACACTCGACGAGGCAACGTAACGGAACAAAAAATTATATATATATATCTACATATAAAATAACATAAAAATACACGGTATAAAACGTCCATCGGTTTTTGAGTGTCGTTAAAACGAAAGAATCAGACGAGGGGTCGTCATAATTTTTTTTCCTTCTCTCTGTAACTCCGGTCACCCTCCAAATCTACCCTTTCCAACCCACGAGCTCTTTACTTCTCTCTCTCTCTCTCTCTCTCTCTCTCTCTCTCTCTCTCTCTCTTTTTCTTTCTCAATCTATCTATCTCTCTTTCTACCCCTCTCACTCGCTCTTTCTGTTTCTCTGTTTCTCTCTTTCTTTTCTCTCTCTTTCTCTCTCTCTTTCTCTCTTTTTCTTTCTCGACCTGTCACTCTGTCTATATTTCTCTGTCTGACTCTCGATCTCTTGACTCTTTTCTTTCTCACGACACCCTGTTCCTCCTGATGCCTCTTTAAACGCATTCTTGCTTGCATGCAAATGCCTGCATTGGTTGATTTCGTAAAGGAACTAATTTGACTTTCTTATTGTTTATGTTTGTGTTCATTGCACCATTTACTTTCTTCGGATTTCATGATGACAAAAAAAAAGGGCTGTTTTCCAGTAAGTAGGAACTACATTCTTGTGTTTCACACTTTGCATCGAGAACACCACGAACGTGTATAACGTGATAGACATCACCGTTATACCGGCTAAAGAAAAAAATTCGAGAAAAACCAAAAAAAAAAAAAAAAAAAAAAAAAAAAACAAACAGTACAGTTACGCAGAAAAAAAAGAAACACGAAAAGAAAACGACAAGGAAGACGAAAAAAAAAAAGATATGAAAACGTTAAAAGATATCGAGTACGAGTATATTCGTTGCAGTATAATAATAGAGCGCAATTCCGTTCGAATTATTCGATGTGTATACCAGTTAATCTTTTTTTCAATCATTTTATTCGCCTCTGTTATTATTATTATTGTTGTTGTTGTTGTTGTTCTTATATGATTATATGAATTGTCACTCGGGGACGTCACTCTGTTTCTTTTTTTTTTTTTTTCGTATCGCTCTCTCTTTATCTCTCTTTCTGTCTGTCTCTGTCTCTCTCTCTGTCTCTCTCTCTCTCTCTCTCTCTCTCTCTCTCTCTGTCTCTCTTTCTCTCTTTCTCTCTTTCTCTATCTCCGTCTTTAATCGATTCGTTTTCTTTTACTTTTCTTTCTTTCATTTAAGTTTAAGATATGTTTATACCATTCGCGATATTTACGAGTCTCTGTCTCTGTTTTACGTTTCACGTTCTTTGTTTTTCAACGAATTGTTCATTCGTGTCAACGCGCCTTTTGTTCGTTCTCTTGTTATCCTGGTCTCGAGTGTATCCGTAGGTGAAGGACCTCTTTATCGGCAGATGTTGCCGATAACGATTTTGCTGTTGCTCTCTCTTTTCTCAAACGCATCGTTGATAACAATCGCCGGACACAACTACAGCTAGAAATTTCGAAATTGCAATTGCAAAATGAAGAAATAACGACAAATACAACGGTAAACACGTAGAGTTACTCGCAAAAAGGAAAACGTTATCGGCAGATATAGAAATCTCGTAATTCTCGGATATTTTCGAATTAAATCACGAATGAATATTCGTATTACGATTCGACTGTTCATAATTGTCGTTGTGCGAAAGTGACAGTGGGTAAGTATCCTTTATGAAATTCCTTCTAGAGACTAATCAGCATTCGCGTGAAAATCATGCGGCGAGTGTCACGGTTACACGAAACTGACACGATAATGACAGAAATTTTCAGGTTAATCACAGATTGGCTGACGCGTGGAAGATTTGCCTCTAAACGAGTTTCTATAGGGAAAAAGAGGTCTGGAACGATATAAAACAAAGTAAATAAATAAGTAAATAAAAAAAAAAAAGAAAAAGAAAAAGAATACACGAACATGAAAAGAAACCAAACGGATCCCCTCGAGACTACACGGTCCTTTACTCTCTTCTATCTCTTTCGTTTCGTTTTACGATTAAGAGATACCCTTCGGGTGGTCCTCAACGGCCACGTAACCGCGCTCGCCACCGAGTGACTTATCTCTCGTAAACGCCAATCGGAAAACCAAATATGTATCTATGTAAATTAAAAAAAAAAAAAAAAAAAGAAACAAAAACAGCTGAAAGAAAAACGCAAGAAAAAAACAGAACCAAAAAAAAAATTTTCAAAAAATTCAAAAATCCGCCAACAACAATCCCGAAAAAATGTCCTGTGAGTTGACGGCCCAATGTTTTGCCAATAGCGTGACAGCTATCTCCTGCACGTACGGGCCTCCGACAGAGGGACGCCAGTGTCGCACTCAGACGTGGAAGTTCAGTTAGTCGTCATAGACAGAAACAATAAACCACCTGTGTGGAATGAGATTGTATACAGCCCCATTCACATCAAAGAAAATGTCACAGTGGGTACTCTAGTGACGTCGATCAAAGCCAGGTTTGTATGCCACGACATGACCGAGACAAGACACGTGACATGCCGTGCCGTGCCATGCAGTGCTACTCCCATTTTTCTTTGTTTTTTTTTCCGTTTTCCAATTTTTCTTTTTTTTTTTCTATTTCGTACCTTTAGGTCTGTCTCGATTCTTGTTTCTTTCCGTTTTCCACTTTCGTCCGATCTTCTTTTCACAGTCCGTTCACAGTAATCGTATTCACCCGTCTACGTACATTCTAGCCTCACGTTCATACGTACGTATCTTACGATCGGTCCGTATCGTTGCGTCTTTGTACACGTTGATTTCTCACAGTGTATCCCTCGTTCGTTTACCGTCTTATCACTTGCGCAGTTTCCCATTTTTCTTTTCATTTTCATACGTAAATGATGCATTTTACGGGAGAGGAAGCATGTATGGTCAAGCGCGGCGCGGTAGATCGCTGATTGGTTGGACACTCCTACTACTACTACTACTACTACTACCTACTTACTACTACTGTTACTACAACTACTTACCATTACTATACTATTACCACTACTATCTATCCCTTACTTATGTTAATTGTTACCACTCGCCGGGGCCGATTTTCGAGACAGCATTCAGGTACCGAGTTGCCACGGTCGAGCCTGCTTACGGATCCGCTACTCGTTTGCTAGACACCGAGGAATTTCTAGACACACGGAGGAAAGCGTGAAATAATTCAACGAGCGAACATGACGCGTCGTACGTGTACACGCATGTGGACGTCTCTGAAGCATCAGACAGAACCGGCCCCGACGACTTTAGCGGAAAACATCCCTAGATGTGTACGAGTTCGGAAAACCGGATGCCGGATTGTCCTTAGCGCGATGATCCGTATAGGGTAGGCGAGGATGTAGCGAGAGATCGAGGTCCACCTCGATGAGAGTTTGTCCTTTTCTCTTCTTCTTCTTCTTCTCTTCTTCTTCTTCTTCTTCTTCTTCACGAGGTGCAGTACAAAGACGCAGGTGCAGAAGCGGGCATCGGCGATCAGCGATCTCCTCGTTGAGGGATGAGTCGGGGTTCAGCACGCTGCTGCTGGCGCTAGTCCCGCTTTGCTTAGAATGTAATCGCGCTAATGTAAGGTAGAGCGGTAAAGCGGCTATCAGAGAGCGGACTATGCGACCCGGACTAGACGACGAGAGTTGGTCCACAGGCGGACGGAGTCTAGGGAGAGAACACGATGATCACTGGCAGAGGCTGGCTACACCAGGGTGCGGGAATGCACGATATGGCGGAACGGCAGAATTGAAACGGGAGAGAGAGAAACACGACAGAGACAGAGACAGCACGCGGAGAGGGAGAGAGAGCGAGACACCCGAGAGAGATGTCCTCCCGTGCTCCTCCCGAGACCAAAATACTTACTGCCACGAGTCATTACGACTGACACTAACGCCATTGTTTTTTGTTCCCGTTTGTTGTACACGCGGTCTGGTGTAGCGTGAGATGTACAAGCTGGAGGCGATGGCCAAAGACAAGGGCTTCCCGCCTTTGTCGCGAACAGTGGAGGTTCGGATTGACGTTGTGGACCGTGCTAATAATCCGCCCGTATGGGACCACATAGTGTATGGGCCGATCTACTGTAAAGAGAACACGGCCGTTGGGGCTAAAGTTGTGTCTGTTAAAGCCAGGTCTGTCACACTGTTAATGCTCCGTGCGGCTCTGCACGAACCCGCCCTGCACGCAATCTCGTGGCAGTATTGTTCTTGTGCACGTTAATTGATATTGTGTACGATTCCATACACACGCATCTACACACCACCACACCTACACACACACACACACACACACACATACAGTGACACACACACATACACAGTGACACGTACACAGGAGCGCAAGGGTCGGTCAAGTAGCTAGCGATGGGCTCCAAAATGCGAAACGCTCAAGTGAGTCTTCATAATAATCCCGAGAGATCACGATGATCCGTCAGAGTCTTGAATGGGTTAGCTGTCTGGACGAACTGTCTTGAAACCGTTCACAACTTCCTCGTAGTGGTAGAAGCTGCATTAACACTGGACCGAGTACTCGATGCAGGAGACGATGTTGGTATAGATCGTTGGTATAGAAAGCTACAGGAATATTACGTATTTTGGTATACTCATACTGCTGCATGCATACGTTCGATTCCGACATTTCAAGACTTCCGACGTTTCGAGCCATTTTAGATTCTCATTAAAGACTTTGCGGAACGGTCACGAACTCGACACGAAGCAACGTGCTGTCAACTCGCACGGGGACCCATCGCTGCGACGTGACGACGCGACGTAACACGAGCACAGATGGACACACGCATACACGTCAGGTGGTGAGCACGAGTATTCGTTTGAGCAGAAAAAAAAAATATGAGCAGAATGAAAGAAAGAAGAAAATATGGGGGAACGAAGCGAGCAGTTCGTTTGCCAAAGCTCGTTTGCTGATCTGCGCGAGTCGCGCGTCCTGCGCGTTGAACCGAGGCGTCCCGTTCGCTCGGTTGCCGATGTAGAACCGTGGGAAAAGGTATTTTCCGAGGAAAAGGAAAGCGTGTTTCGCGGAGAAGGAAGGTTCTTCCTCTTCGAATACGATTTTTCCCGGATCGGAATTACATCTCGCTCGAGACGACGACGTTTTGTTGCACTTTTAGGAGTCGCGAGGAGTACGTTGCGAGTCCTGGCATGGCGAATTAATCGATTTTAAGCTGTAGTTTAATTACGCTTTTTACAGAACGCGGGAATGCTGATGAAATTCGGCAGAGAGTTAAGTGCACGTATAAAAAGAAGCATTACCCCGTTCTTGGGAGTAGCATTGGTGTTTTATTGCCGAGCTGGAGTTACGTATCGACTGGGTTCCCGGGTTCGACGATAGCGTAGTATCGGTAAAGTAATGAGAACTTTATTTCATTTAGAATTTTGCTGTAAAATGTGGAGAAAATTCGAAATGATAGTTAGGTGTTATTTAGAATTACGTTTGGCTCCGATAGTCTATCGTTTTCTAATTTTAACCCTCGCATGGCGGATGGATTATGGCCGTGAATGATGAACGTGGGATCCATTTTGACCCACGTCGGGGATTTCAGTATTTAGAATTTGAATATTATTTATAAATTACTTTTTTATTTTCCATCGTTACGGGTAATGCATTAAATACGACTTGACAAGCTTGGGCGCCATTTTGACCCAATTCTGAGTATCGCTATTTAATATTTAAATATATAGAATTTTATCGAGGATTTGCATTTTATTATTTGCCAATTATCGATTACTTTTTATCGTTACGAGTAACGCATAATATACCACTTTTTTATTGCATGTGTATTGCACGTGTGCCGGTAATTATGAAAATGACGCACGTTTCCTTTCGAAATATTAATAACCTCGCGCGATAAATTAAAAATTTAATTTATATTTTAAATTTTAAATTAAAGAAATTTAATCGTGACAGGTATGCAAATTCATCTGAATTATTTAATTTTTTGCTACTTTGACAGGAATAGTTTTATTGTATTATATTGCGAATAAATACAATTAAAATAAGTTACGAAATCGTGTTTTTCGAACTTTTGACTTGGATCATTATCATAATTACTGGCGCATATATGTGTATTATAACAATTTTCACATTTCTGCGTGTATTTATTATCATTATCGACACACAGGTTGCATCTTCCACAGTTTTCTACGACTGGTACTGTATTCTCTAATTTTATATAATTTCGGTGTTATTGGTGATGATAATAGATAAGCGCCATGCTAGCTGTAATTAACAATAATTTACATATACTTTGTAGTATACGAAATGAACGTTCCATGAGTCCAAGTGGACCTGGAATCCGCCAGGCGAGGGTTAATGACACGAGAAACTTGGATTACAATTTTTAAACAACGTTATTATAGTACATTAATTCGATAATCATCGTCATTTAATTTGAGATTCTCAAAGTAGACTTTCGCTATTATAATGAATAATTTGCGAATTTTGAAAATAATATTTCAAAATTGTGAAAATAATGGTCAAAAATACTAAAAATAGCATTCAGAAATTCGAAAAATAGCGTTCGAGAATTCCGAAAGTAACGTTCAAAGATTCTAAAAGTAGCGTTCAAGAACACCAAGAAAATGACAAATTAACGTTCAAAAATTCGAAAAATGAAGTTCAAAAATTCTAAAAATTGCGTGGAAAAATTCGGAAAATGATATCGAAAAATTCCAGAAAGGGGAAAACGAATAAAGAGGAATGACCGTAGGAGACCTGCGTTTCCTGACATTCGGCTGACACGAAAGTGTCTAAAACGACTGTAATTTCTTGGAGAAGAGCGAGGTTAAACTAGGTCGCGCAGGGTGTAATTTATTCGGGGCTATTGTTTCACTTTTTTCCAAACGCGGTATTGAAAGATCGCAATGAAAAGCGTGGTTGACGGGAAGCGTGCGTTCGACGTGCGGTTTCGAAGCGGAACGTCCCACAAACAGATGGACTTCCGGCACGAACGAATCGGTTAATTGCGTGTGCATTTGAGCCAGATGCCGTGACCACGTGCTACCGGCACGACACAGGGTTCGGTGCATATCATCGTGTACATAAAGTGCAAGCACTCGGCATAGCGTCACGCGATCGCTCGAATGTCAAACGCGTGCCAATTTCTTCTTTAATTCGTTTGCGGCAAGGGGCAACAGATGGCTGGCGCGCGATGCTTTGTTGCGAGTTTAAGTTCCTCGTGCAGGTTGGAATAACGCGGCCGAGTGCGATGTAAAATGAAACTTTGCATATTACGTTGTATTCGTTTATCCAGCGTGTCGAGAGAACAGTTGTTCGCGTGTCCTTAGGCTGTTTGCTTTGCAAATTGTAAGTACGCGTAATTGTGGGCAGGAATTTATTATACTCTCCATTTTCGTTATTTTCGCTTCTTTGGAGGGGAAGGTGCTAGGATTATTTAATCGATATTTAATTTCTATCAATTCGGATTATTCGGATTTATGAATTTTAATTATCAAAGTTAATTATCAAAGTTAATTTTGCTATGTCGAGTTGGTTCTAATCGCCTAATGCAATCATTTGCGAGTATCGAATGAACTATAACAGAACAAGGGAGCTTTAAGAAGAAATAGAAAACTGAATTTCTGATATTACTTTACAATTTTGCGTTGAACAGTTCGATTTTTCATAAGCAGTCCTATAAGCATTTCTCGTGATCGTAGGACAACAGAACCTCTCCGATGAAATAATTATAATAATCAAAACAGACATCTTGCAATTCATGAAAAAATAATAGTAACAAACTTAGTCAACCGAAGTCGATCGTGATCAATCCAACATCCCAAATTCTTAATTTTTAAACAACGATGTACACCCGCAACTAAACCAATCCACCCCTAAAAACCACCCTCGAACCAACTCCACCGATGATTCATCTCCCTAACCTCAAACCATCCGACCAACCGGCGAACCAACCGACCCACCACCCTCGCCACCTAGACCCATAACAAATCGATCGAGGGGAGGCATAAAGTTGGTAAAAGTGAAAAGTATCAGGCATATCCCGTACATCACGAGCGATCGCGTTGCAACAAAACGTCGGAAATGGAGCGTGGTTGGTTCTCGAGCGGGTACACGGTGGTCTGCCAGCGGAAAGATACGGTGTAACGCGTAAATTATACAGCCGGCAGGTGAAGGGTAGGGTAACAGGTAACATCGCGCAATCGAGTGGCGGATTAACGCAATCGGCGGCGCGCACACGCTCGATGGGGTAAGCGAATTCGCGGAAGTCGCATTCGTTCTAGCGATTATCCAGGTAATCGCGGAAGCCGAATCTAGTCGCAGCAGACTCATACAATTAGCGTGTGTGTGCCGTAAATATTTTTTGGGCATGCGTTTTACAAATAGATGCTTCCCTCAGACGTTGGTCATTCTTTCGTTTGTCTATTTTTATTCCGATTCATTTCGCCGCGTCCGACCACGTGGTCTGGCCACCCCATATTTTCCGTTCTCTTCCACCATCGTTCTCCTCTGTTCTCGTTTCTTTGTGTTCTACCATGGTAACTGTTTTTCCACTTGCACCGGATTGGCTTTTTTCAAAATTCTTTACCTATCATTGTTTTCGTCACCGTTTTCGCGGGATTCCTGTCTGACGGTTTAACGGTGTCGAACGACGACGCATCGTTGGCCACGTAATATGTCGATATTGGAAAAAGGAAAAGGAAAAAAATAAACGGAAAGAGAAAAAGAGAAAAAAGAAAGAAAACAATTTTGAAAAGTCGTCCGCCATTTTTGCGTTCTCTCCGACCTTTTTCCATTTTTACAGTTTGTTGCGAGACTTGCATTCAGTATAAATCGTCGATATGTATATATATATAACGTCATATATATATATACATCTTATACATACGTATTGTATATTACGTGAATGCCGTATTAATTTTTGGGCATGTTTCGTCAGTTGCTTATTTGCGGTAGGTTACCGTGTATTGTTCTTGGAAACTGACCATTTTTTTCCCAGTTTTGTTTTTCCTTTTTTTCTCTCTTTTTAATTTCCCTTCCTTTTTCGTTCGGTTCACCGTCTTTATTTTTTTCTCAGCCACGTTTCTCGAAGTGTCTTTTATTCATAAGTCTGACTGTCCGTTTCCTTTATTTTCGATTCTTTCTTCATTTTCGTATTCTC